TGGCTGAAGACAGGCTTCGTCTCCTTTTCCCTGTATTAAGTGTTTCCAGGAATCACGAAAGGAAACATTGCCAGCAAAGCCAAGCTCTGATTCAGCCATTGGGATTAATGGATGTGTACCTCAATGATCCTTGTTCCACTGCCTTGTGGCAAGTGGGTTCCTGTTGAGGGATTTTTGAAACAGCAAAAATCCCATGGCTTGCTGTAGCTGAGCAAACCAAGCTACCAGGGCAACTATGAGAAGTTCCCATGACAGTGTTCCCACATCGCCCAATTGAGGAATTCAGAAAAATATTGTTATCAGTAGCTGGCTTCAAGGACAAGGTCTATGTGACTGCTAATCACAAGGGGTTGTTTTCTTATAGTTGTTTGTCTGAGTGCTTTTGACCAATAATCTTGTGTGAAGCACTGTCCGCCCCTGTAAAGTTCACTATAAAAGTTAGGCTATTCGGGCAATAAAATGGGAGCATGATCTGACTCTACTGGTGTCTGTCGTGCTTTCGGCCGTGCTTCTTGCGATGTTCCCCCATAAACAAGGTCAACATGGGCTTTATTCCCTGTAGTGCCTGGCCTAGACCTGCTCCCTCACTTTGCCTTTTGAGGAGACTGTGGTGTGTTTTGGGTCACAGATTCCTTTTCAGCTCTCGTGGAAGCTGCCTGCTCCACCCCAAACGAAGTGCTGAGACACAGCCATTGAGAGTGCCCACACACTGTGCAGGAAAACTGTGTTGCCTGCCATTGTTTCTCTTTGATTCATCTTTGTGGAACAGCGCGAGCAAGTTTTCAGCTGTTTGGAGCATAAACTGAATGGCTTCTTTGGGCAGGATGGATGGGACTTCAAGCCCATGCAATGCTGAGTGAAGCCCCTGTCTGGAAGCTATCTGACAAGGTCAGACTCTGTTTCTGTCTGTCATCTCATTGGTGCTATCCTCTGTTGGTTGTGTAGGTGCAATTACTCTTCTGGTAAGCTCCAAAACTCATCTGAGAAAAGAGATCATCAGGTCTGTGCTACACTTTGGCAGATTTGATTTTGGGTGTTCAACCAGGCTTCTGTAACGGGGTTAATTCCCATGGTGTGGGATCATGTTGTGCTTGTTTGGTTTTCTGCTTCTTTCATTTTCTAAGTGTTTCCAGACAAACTGGTTCCTGTCCAGCCTCTCTTCACCTCCTCACTTCTTCCTCTCTTCTTTCTCAAGTTTCCCATGAGAAAATATATTTCTGCTAGGATTCTTGTTCTTCTTCACAATTTTTTTTCTTTTTGTCCATGAAGCTTTTGCTGTGCAAACCTATGTCTAGTCCCCTCCAATAGGAGAGGATTTCTATAGGGTGTGAACACGAATCTATGGGCAAAAATATGCTAAAATACCATTTTGTGGACCCCAAGACAATGGGATTAATATTTATCATAAATATATATGTACAACCCAACCCAGTTGGGTTGCACAATGTGAGCCAGCACTGTTCTTATTCCAAAATTTAGGGTCTACTGCTAGTAGCTTTCTATTTTGTTCACTCAGAACCTGAAAATATTGAACTATACTTCATCTCTACATGGAAAATGGAACAGATAACATACAAGCAGGCAGAGGCACGGTGACTCATCTGAGGGTTTTCAAAATGGTGAGGCAGAACAAGGGCTGAAACATGTCTCACCTTCCCTGGTTTACAGCTTTTAGCACCACAGCTTGTTAGTCCTTTTGTTCAACACCATCTCCTGAACACTGCTACAGAAAATGACATAGATTGTACAGGGAAAAGAGGCGCTCTTCCAATCTGCACAACAAGAAGTTCTGGGAATAGCATAGAGGGTTTGGGTCTTATATGACTGTGGTGAACTTTCCTAACTACTGTATGTACAGTATATCCTTTGATTTGCTTGCTTCCTATCACACTTAAGTTTTTAACTAGAATGAAATTACTGAATTCTTCTAACTCAAAATTTTTCTTTTGAAAGGAAAACATTTCCAGCAGTATTACCACTTAGCTGTAAGAAGCAAGGGACGAATGAGGAAAGTTACTCAAATTTTGCTTGCTGGTTCAGCCCCCATTTCCCATTCCAGGAAAGGAAGCACCAGGACTGTGGGTGCTTCTCTGGGCTTAGAACTGAGAGCTTTGTAATTTCTGCAGGAGGGACAGATTGCCTCTGTCTGCTCCCAGGTGTACCTCCAAGCCCTAGAGCTTAGGGATATGGTTTAGTGGGGACTGTTAGCGTTAGGTCAGAGGTTGGACTTGATGATCTTGAGGTCTCTTCCAACCTAGAAATTCTGTGATTCTGTGATTCTTGCCAGCAAGCCAATCACAGGTGTTTGTATTCCTCCTGTTCCAGCTCCACATTTGCAGCATCCTCGTTCACTTGAACAGGGCAATCTGGCGGGACTGTTGGTTTGGGCATTTGATTTGCTTGCAAATGCATATAGTGCTTTAGCCAGTTGTGTGGCCAAAGAGCCATGTTTTCAGTTTCACTAATTAGCACAGTATGAATTCAGCTGTAAGATTAGACCCTGAACACCAATAGTCATGTACCTCCACTAATTTTCAGGCTCAGGCACATCTAGAGATTAGATCTCTCACTTTGACAGCAAGTAGTCTAGCCACCAAGATGCCATACAGAGGATGTGTACAGAGGATGTGTACTGCTATTTGATTCTCTTTAGTCTTAATTACGCTTCTGTCCAGATCAAAGCCACCTACAGATGAGTGTTGGTTCTAAAGAACCCGTTAATTCCTTGCAGGAAAAATGATTGAGTAAAAGTCAAAAGTACTTGCGATCTTTAATGACGTAGCCCAGCAGTCCTATAGGCTTTTGTCCAAAAAAGACTGCAGAACTGATTTAATGTCTTGGTTGAAAAAAAACTGCTTGTGATTGATTGGAAGAGGAACTTGTGCAGTCAGGTGAACTTGCAGCATTGGAAGGTTTTGTCTGGTGCTTAGCCACCTTAGGTAGCTACTATTAAGCACAGTATTCCTGTCTAGATGGGTAATCGTTTCACTTCTTGTTGCTGCTGGAAGAAATACATCCTGGAACTTTTTCTATTAAAAAATGAAAATTGTCAACTGTCTTGAGCTAGTTAATATGTTAACCCTAGGATAAAATTCTCATCCTTTCTCTGCAGAAAGGTCTGAGAGGTTCAGACGGGCTCAAATATGTCAAGCACTGTTTCATGTGCTTGTCTATCCCAGATAGCTGTCTATCCCAATGAGCTGCAAAATAACAGAATAAGCTGAAAAAAATAAATCTGAATTTCCAAATTATGACAAAACTCTGAAATGTTCTTGTTAGACTGAATAAACTGAAACATCAGGAAAAAGAGTTGAAAGCATTGAGATATCTTGATATATCCCCAGATCAAAATAGTATGCTTTAAAAAATGGAAATAGTACATTTTCTTTTAGTTTGTTTTGTAGTACGCTTTTCCAAGAACTCATTAACTCATGAGCCATACAGCTCCCGAGCCTGCTGCTGACACTTGAACCCCAGACAGAGATACTCTTGGGGGAATAGTAGTGCCACAGGAGTCATTCTGGCTCCTGCAGCTACCCCACAGCTTGATTCAATTAGATATTTCTTTAACATTACAGGAAAGACATCGCTTCAAAGAGCCTGGTTGGAGCAACATTTTCCAGACTGTAAGGGAAGTGTAGCTCTGCATTTCTGGTATTGTCTGGAAATGAAACAGCCGGGGCGTGGTTCAACAAAATGAAGTATTCCATAAGAAATGAATTACCTTACCAAAACTTTGCTTTATAATTTTCTTTGTGGGAAGTTGGTATTTAGAAAAGAAATTATAAAAATAAAAAGGGCTGTTTGATTATTTGATTTTTGTGGAAACCCCAGTTCTTCTGTGAAAACAGATTGCCATTATGTCCTACCGAAGTGTGACAAGGAATAAGTCTTTTCTCCTTTAAAGAAAGCAAAGCAGAACAAAAAACTTAAAAGTTCAGTACAGAGCTGAATGTGCACAAGGAATGCTTCACCTTCCGAATGTCATCTAACGCTTACCTGCACCTTTCCCTGTCCCCGATTATATGGGCTGAAATCCTGACCTTGTTCAAGTCAATGCCAAAACTTCCACTAATTTCAGCAAGGGCTGTATTTCACCCATTCTCTGTTTTAGTAGTGACAGTTTCAAAGAAATACTTAGCTATCATAAAAGTACTGTGAACTGCTTTTAAGTTCCTGTGTAACTCCAGGTTCAGTCCTCTTAGGTTGCATTGGTTCTGAGCTGCCTGGGGAGTCCTACAAATAAAGCTGAGACTTATTCTGATTTTACACTGTGAATTCTGAGCATTCCTGTTAAAGTTTTGTTAAGGAACTGTGTATCTTGTGGTTACCTGGTTGAGTAATACCCAAACTTGTGTTGCTGGTAGGTGTTATGGAGGTTTGATACTGGCAAGTGATTATGTAAAACTGATTTTCCGAGTAGTCTGGGAAAGGGCACCTCTGCTTTCCTTCCTTGTCTGTTTACCACCAGTGGGTGAATGTCACCAAATGGATCACCGTGTGGTGGGCAGAGTGAATTGGGAATAGTAGAAGCCAGCCCTGTTCTCTTGGGGAAACAGGAGGCAGAGTACATCTACAGGCACTAAACTAGCTTTTCCCGCTTCTACTGCTCCCAACACCACTTCCTAAAGCCAGGCCTCTAACAGGCCCCCACCTGTGTGACTGAAGCTTAACCCACTCGTAGATGTGGCAGGGCAAATGTAGTATCCCCTCTGAAGGAAAGACCTTGCTGAGATTTCTAGTATTTCCCTCTTTCTCTTCATGTACCTACAGTTTTCTGGCATTTTCTTCCCACCCATGAGGAACTTTGCTCAGTGGGTTATGATTTTGACCCAAACCCTGTAGTAATGAAACTCAGTTTGGTTGTTTAGCTCCTGGTGTCTGTTGCTAACCTCTCTACAGACAGCAGAGTTCACAACACACAGCACAGTGACCTTCCAAGAACTCCTGCTGTATGTTTGTGTTTACTCTCGTATCTCCTCTTGTTTTCTCTCTTTCAGACGTGGTGGCCTTTCTGCAATACAGACTACTGAATATCCAACAGTCCGTGTTGTCCTTCCAGGTAAGATACGTGATGGTGTTAACTCTCCAGTAGGAACAAAGAAAGTGGGTGTTCAGATATCATCTGCAGCTTACAAAATCCACAAAGGCATTTTCTAGTGAAAGTAGCTGGTTTTATTATATATTTTTTTTCCTTCAGAAAAATAAGTTTGTATGTCCATGACACACCTTTCTTCTATGGGAGGTGGATGTTTTCCTCCCTCCCTCCTTAATGAAGTCATGAGGAAATGAAAATTCAAGCCAGGTGAGGAATTGTGCTTAACAAAGGAAAGAGCAAATGTATTTACCAAAGGCAGAAAAATATGGAAATGTATGTTGAGGGTTCTTCTGTGAGTCCCCTTGCCACGGAGTGTCAGAGCAAAGCCTACCTTGGCCCTAGGTTGTGCCCCTAGGAGGAGCTGATGGGAAATGCTTTCAGAAGAGAGCAGCATGTTGAGCATGTGCACGGTTTGACTTCTAGCAATTTCTGATTTAGGTTGTCATGTTTAACAGCAAAACGTTTACAGATTTTAGAAGGTTACACTGTGTTGTTCAATTCCAAAACTGCTTATACTTTTGTCCTTTGAAGTTGTCCATGGGCATGAGTCTCCAGTCTGCTTAGTTCTGTGCTGTAAGGTAAACAATTTACTTTTGGTTCCTATACATGTGCTGCCTGAAAGTGTCACTACTGCCCCTCAGTCCTGTACAATAACAAATAAATAATCCTTCCCTATTTATGCTCTTATAACTTGTAGTTGTGTGTCTGGTAATGTTTTCCAGGCTGAAAGATCCTTCTTTGCCTAATCTCTCCTCAAATTCTAAGCTTTTGCTGTTTACCTCACCTCTCTCTCGACCTTTCTAATTCTAGTGTCTTCTAAGACAATCCTAATACTGTTGTGTTTCATGAGTGCAGAGTTGGCATATTCAGAGTATCCTGCACAAGGTCATTGGGTGCAATTAATTCAGGAAGGATTGGAATGTGCGTATGTTGGCAGACTTTCTTCACCAGATGTGAAGAAACAAGGCTTTTATTGACAGTGACCTGACAGTTTTCTGTTCTCTTACCATGGGCCAAGAGAGCCTTCTGTGACTCTTCAGGTTTCACTATTGTGAACATTTGAGCAAATTTATTATCTCACCCTTCACCCAGAGTTTCACTTATGCTGAAGTTAGAATGATAGTGTATCTTGAAAGCATTTGAAAATATGTGGGGAAACATCCTTAAACTTCAACCCCTGATCTCATATTTTGTTACAAATCCATTTTGGGAACTACACACAATGAATTTCCAAACTTTGTTTTTCAGCAGGGATAGGCGTATCTCAGGCATTCTCAAATACCTCTGTTTATTTGTTAGTTGTAAGGAGTCTGAAGAACTGTTCTTGTTTCTCAAACAAACAAATTCCCTTTATTGGTAGGTGATTAGCAATTACTAGACTTTTCCTGGTTCTTTAACTTGTGATGGGAAATGAGAATGCCATTAAATGCTTAAATGCTGTTCACAGTTAATTGTCAGTCTGCCAAACTTATTCACATGACCTCCAATTGCTCAGTTCACCTCCTGTTTGGAGCTGCAGGGCGTATTCCTCACTGACCAGGCAGCTTTCTCTGCAGCTCCTGCACCCAGAAGGGTGTTCGCTCTGCCCCTGGCAAGCTCAGTTGAAATTTGGCAGAGAAACCACATGGATTTCAGCAACACACCATTTTGTGACTAAAGCAAAAAAGAGTCTGAAGCCAGCCAATTTAAGGATCTGTTTGCGTCTCCTTCATAGGAACTTGTTCCTGTTTGGCAGACAAGTGATGTGATTGTCTGAAGTGGGTCCGTCTCCTTGTCTGGCTTTGGCTTTCCTGTGTAATTTTGCATTTGCAGCAAATAGCTTTACTGTTTACAGAACCAATTGGTAAGAATTTGCCTTGGTCTCTCAATGCTGCTGGTTCCTAAGTGAAAAAGAAAAGTCATATGGAGTAAAGCATGGTGAAATGTGCAGCAGAAGAGCTGTTGGTGTCTGTAGCAGAGGGAGCTGGCATTAGCAGCAAGGCTGCCAGGAAGCAACGGGTCACACGAGGGGGAGATGAGCAGGGTGAGGGCTGTGTGGGAACTGGGCAGGAGGGAGCCAGGAGGAAGCAGGACTGAGCTAGACGGGAGATGCAGCAGTCAAGTGCTGTCCTTTGGGATATGCTGGCAGCGTAACCGCAGTGTTTTCTGATCTCTTGTCTCTGTGATCTCTTGTCTCTGTGGCCCTCTGCCTGTGGCTGCCTCCTGAGGACCTGTTTTATCTGAGCTGTACAAAACAAACCATGTGGGTTTCCTTGAGTGGTGTTAGCAGTTCAGGACCCAGAAATATTTGCAAGAAGCATAAATTCTTTCTGTTGTCTCATTTTACATTTGTCAACAACTTCCATTGCACCTGCATAATGTAGACAGTGCAGAAAGAAATGAGGCTGTAGCTTTTAGTGGTTAGTCTGTTTTCAGCTTCAGATCAAATATGTTTAAATTTAAAGTAACAGCTTCTTGGCTAATAACTTTATTCTGAGATCTTGAGCCTGAGCTCCTGGATTAGCTTGTGTTATCACTAGACTGCTCTAGCAAGTCAGCGTGACGTTTTTGTTACTGGAGTAGGAGCTTGCTTGCTCTTTCCTGGGTGTCTTAAGTATGTTTTGGTTAAGAGATCAAATTAACAGGAACTATTGCATGTAAAAGGAGAAGCCTGATTACAGTCATAATAGCCTTAAGCTTGTTTGAAGACTGTTTATTTTAAGCACAAGCAGGAAGGAAGATGAAACGCTTCCCAGGTCCGTGGTGGACAAGGCAAAAAGTCCTGAGCTATGGTAGTGGAGGAACCATCAAGCTGAAACCAAGAGACATCTTTAAAAGGGAGGGGTGGTGAGGAACTGGCATCGACCAACCATGGTAGCTGCTCAATCTCCATTTTCAGAGCTCTCCTGGGTGAGTGCAGTTGATGCTGGGAGAGAGTGAGGCCCAGCAGTAGGTCCTAGGGCTCTCCCAGGAGAGCCAGGCTGCTGAAACACCCCTGGCTCAGGCACACACAGGGTAAATGTTCTCGTTAACAAATATTGCTTGTAAAAATGCACTTGTGGTCTCATCCTTTCTGTCAAAAGCAGAGTGCTGTTTCTTCAGTGATGTCAGTTCATGAGGAAGTACTGAATTGCTGGGCCTTGCTCATGCAAAAATTTCTTCTTTGTCATAAATCCTACTCTATTCTTCATGGCCTCGTATCTAAGTGCACACCTGTGTGAACTGGCATCATGCAGTTTTCTTACTTCTTCAGCACAAAAAACAACCAAACAAAACAAAAAAATACAACAGACACTATCACCAAAAGAATTGTTTTCCTCTGGCTGCTGGGCTCTGCCACTGCACATGTACACACATGCTCTCATCGACTGTGTTTGTGTTGGCCGCTTTCAAAATTGAGCAGTGTAACTGCAGAAGGCAGCAGTTGAAAGATCCTTTTATGAATAAGAGTGCTAGAATGGCTTAGGTAGTCTATCCTGCTTTTCTCATCTCTTTGTAACCAAATATTTCATCATGTGGGAAAAATGAGAGTGAAGGGAAAGAGGTAATGAAAACATCTCATGCATGGAAAGCAGAACTGCTGCAACGCAACCTAGCAGTGACCCGGATACGAGGTGGTCTGAGATACCAGATGCAAGAGCTCAGCCTCCCTTAAAATAATTTCTTTGCACCACACGTGAGCCTGTGCGTAGTGCTGCCTGTATGCAAAGGCTGTGTGATGAAATGAGTGGAAAACCCCCTGTGTATCTGTGAGGTCTGAATTCCTTCAGGAGGTTGGCAGCAGTGCCAAATGACCTGGAAAGGCCCTCTTTCATCTCTGTCTCATCACCCACCCTTTCCTGCAGCTACAAGTGCAACATTGGCCACAGCTACAGCAGTGAATCACAGCAGCTCCTGAGCAGATTTCTTGCTCTCGGTATTGCTCTTCTCACCACTTCTAACATGTAACAAATTACCCCAGTCTTCCACTCATCAAATGATTAATTTTCTGTGACATGAGTCAGGTAGTGCTCCAGGTGTTAAACACGAAACAAACTTGGATGCTTGCCCATCATAAAGTTATCTGATTGCAAGCTTGGTGATCATTATCCTGTTTGAACCAATTATCTCATGTAACCATCGTGCAGCCACCACATCTCAGCTCCAAGGCTAAAGCACCTGATGATTGCCAGGGTTTCAAGAGTATGGCTAAGGCTGTACTAGCTGCACAACAAAGAATGTGTTTTTGAATGTGGATCCAGTTTTTCACAGGGGATCAGTGTCCAAATTCCACCCTGGTGTTTTAAACAAGCCAGACCTTCGTGTGTCAATGCAGGTGTTTCAGATGTTTTTTAAAGGTCACAAACATGGTTTGGAGACACAGCCACTTACGCACTAGGCACAAGACAAGCTGTTTGTGAATACTTCTGAGGAAGGACTGTTCTTAACAGTCATATGGCCAGTGCTTGGAGAGCTATGGCTGTGCTCAGCTAAAAAGCTGTGTAAGCATGATTTCCCCCCTCCCCCCCAGTTCTTATTTAGGGGCTTCTATTTGCCAAATAATGGACTGCACTGTTTCTCTGAGGGACTTCTGACAGCAGTGAAGAAAGAAAACAGCTCAAAACTTTCAACTTTGCTGTGAAATGAAGGAACAAGTTTCCTGTCTGCTGTTGCCCTCACTGTCTGCAGTACTTGCCAGATAGACAGCTGGGCAGTGCTTCGGGTCTTCCTGCCCCAGGATGACTTGCGTAGATGATAGGAAAAAATGCTGCAGTATGAGAACAATTGCAGGAACGATTACTAGCAATTAAGGCTGTTAACACAGACCCCTGACCTGCTTCTCAAGCCTTTAGACTCTCTTCAGGGTTCCCAGTCCCAGATGATCTTTAGTTATGAGAAGTGCCTTGGGTTGGCGTGGGAGTGGGTGCTAGGGAGGGAAGCTGTCCTGTTGGGCAGAGAACAGCTGTCCAGGTGGGATCAGATCAGCTAGGAGAAAAGAAACATCA